ATACACATATACACAGAACTATCTATGCCAAGTAATCGTAATATTTCTACTGTTACTTAATGCTGAAAGCCAATAAAGTTTTTTTTTAGGAAATTGCCATTCTGAGTTAATGGTTTTCCTGGTCCCATTGACCCACACACATTTTATGTTCTTTTTAATAGACAACTTTTTCGTGCAGGGAAGTTCTCACCAGAAGAGGCTCTTTATAAATCTCTCTCTTTGAACCTTTCTTTATTGCTTGAAATTCATAGGAAGCTCCTGGCATTAAATTAACCTTTAGAATAGACTTTCTCTTTTCTCTGCTTAAAATCATTAACTAATTTTTGGATCGATTTTATTAGCGCCAAATATGGCTTTATCTATCATCTGATAGCTTTAATCACTTCTTTTCGGAACCCACAACATAAAATATATACACATATGTAACACATAATTTATTATTTTAGGATTTTGTATACCCTTCATGAACGTATTAACCCTTGCCCGAAGTACGTAAGCAGCAGAAGGAGAAGAGATAGACCTCTTAAGCATAAGTTTAATCTATCGAATCAGAAGGACGAGTTAAGTTGATTTAGTCATCTGTCTGTCTGTTCAGCTTTTGATATACTCGTACTTCAAACAAATTTGATAAGCGATGTATTTTAAAATTTTATTTCCACTTGCCGGAAGAAAAGTGTTCCCTATGGTAATTTGGACTAAAAACTACACAAAAACTGTGCACAAATTTATGCAAATTAACTGTTAAATGTTTCTCGCATATATTGATTCCGGGTCCACTTCCCGTCACACAAAGAGTTCCTCATATAAATTTTAGCAAATAGATTCCTGTGTACTCAATTCCATTTCTATTTTTTCGAATAGTTTGGTTCCAGGTGCACTTGTCAGAAAATCCATTTTATTGGGTCATACACAGAATTCAACATTTAAGATTTAGGTTGTGTTTGTTGTTGTTGTAACCGCAAAATTATCCCCCAAAGTACTTTTTGGGGAATGTTTCGGGAGTGACAGTCCTTAGCCGGATAAAAATCCGGGTCGTTCCGGTATAAAGACCCGACTGTCGCGGGAACTATTGGATTTTAGCCGCCTCTTACGACAGGCATGCCTTACCGCGGGTAAATTCTTGAGCCCCTAACCCGCAGGGGGTTTTAAGATTTAGGTCTTACCGACCGGTAGTTAGGGCTGTTGGCTTATCTGTCTCTAATTAAGGACAAAGCCTTTACATGCGTGATCGGTCGACTATATCACGTAGTCCTCATACAACTGATCAGGTAAGAGATTTTGGGTAAACTATCCGTCACAACGGCATCTAAGGGTATGCATGTATGAATAATTATCGGCACCGAAAATAATCGAAATCGTAAAATTTACGCCAACGAACAAACCAAAATAAATAAAAAATCCATTGAATTCGCGACGCCTTCGATCGATAACTTTTCTAAAATTTTATCTACGTCTATTAATATAGCTGAGAAAGGTCGAGTGTCTGGTAATAAATACTTTTGAAGGATCTTGGTTTCAAGTTCAGGCTAGACGAAAATCAGAAGAGTATTTGAAAGTTACTCTAAATGAAGTTAAGCCTGGGCAGAAACTGACCTAACTAACTAATAAAAAATACTATGTGCATTTGAAAAGACGTTTCAGAAGATCTCTCCAAACTTGGAAGAGAGTAGCTCGCATTACAAAGTAATCAAAAAGGATCGAGAAAGCATTGAAGATGAGGCAACCAACAGATTCAAATGACAAGCAACACTTAAACAAAATCAGAGAAATGCTAATAAAAATTCGTCGAGAGACAGTCTGGGATTTTACTGACTTTGTTGAAAAATCAGAAGGATCAGTAAAAACTATTTTGGGAGTCACTTTGGATGTCAGAAAATAGAAAACGTGGTACCGAGGGGATAAAACTCTCAAATTGATAGAGAAACTGCTCTCATGCGGTGTATCCATTTCACAAAAACTTGATCCACATCATTCCGCAACCAGCGCTATTAGTTTGTTTTAGGGCTGTGCATCTTTTAGTTACTCTCCAAACCTAGTAGACTACTCCGAAGACACCTGTTCGCGACCTCAATTGCTAATTTAACTCTAAAAGATTCTTTAAAGTTTTGCTCTCGACGTTAACTTTTTTTAAAGGAGGCCAAAATGGAAATTAATTAAGAAATACATATGTGTTTCTAAGGGAAAAAAATTCAAATTCAGCTTACGACAGACAAACCTCACATTATTTTCAGAACAATCTAAGTATTTGCTCAACATATGGCGTAAGCAGTCAAACCGTTTAAAAAGTAAGAAGTCGAAAGAATAAACCCGTTGACGAGTATGCGAGTGCAAGAAAACGCAAGTGAAGCAATTTTCAGTTGCTTTTGTTACGCAGCCAAATATCATGAAAATGAGCCAGAGGCAGATAGTCAGTCCGTGCATGTGAATTAATGTATCACACAAGCAATTACCAACGTATATACGAGTATATAAATGTAGGTGCGTATGTACGTCCAAAGCAAACAATAAAAGTGTCACTTATGCTTTAACTCACTTAAATTGCAATTCGAAAAAATATATGTCATGCAAGACAAGCCAAGTGCAATCACTTAGCCGCAGACGAAGGCATGCGGTGAAAGAGCGAAAAGCGCTGTGAGGTCGCAAATCCCTGATACTAGAGCGGGTCAATTTGTATGTAACAAAATTTTGGAACAAATCGTAAAGCAGAAATGTATTGTACGAATAATTTAAAAAAAAAATTTGGTAAGGAAACAATGAGTTTCAAGGCGCCGATTCATAAAATTTTGCAGAATTAAAAATGAACTCACTTGTAGGCTTGCTGATAAGGCAGTTTCATCTCCATTCAGAATCATTAGAATAGTCATAGATTCTACAAATTTTTTGAGTAAATTTCAAGTAAGTATCAGAAAATTTGAACTTAAATTCTCAGCGGTATATGAAAATCTTCTAGCACTCTTATTGATCTACTGTTTCTTTTAAAGTAACTTTTCGGGGATTTTTGTGTATGCCTATCTATCGAGACAGCTTTTTATATTGTAGTATCCACATACGTGTATTCATTTCTAACCTTAAATACGTTCCTCTGTTCGAATAACTTCATTTAAGTGACTACACGATTATAGCCAAAAAATTCAATTAACTTGCATTATATTTACTTTAAATACGTCGCGGGTATGCCTAGGGTCCGAACGAGACTATCGTAACTCAATGAAGTTATTAAAATTAAACATAAAATGGTGAAAACCCGGCAGAGGCGGTTCATAAAAGAAAAGCATTTTTCGGTCGTTTTGAAGCAACTTGGCGAGGCGAGAGTTGTTGAAAACTGGAGCTTGTTCCTTGCTGACTGAATCCTTGAAATGCATGAAACTGATCCGGAAATTCATCGAAAAATCATCTTTACGTATGAGGCCGTTTTCTATCTTGGGGTGCGGAAACTCCAAGATTTATTGTTGAAAACGTATGCATTCTCAACGTGGAACTGTTTGATGCGATCTATAATTCTACTGGGTCATTGGACCTTACCTTTTCGAAAATGAGACTAGAGCAACAATAAGAGAGAATGGATTGCACTATCGAGAGATTATTAATGATTTTTTATGACCAGAATAGGAAGGTATAGATCCGGACCACGTTTACTTCCAACAAGGCAGGACTACGTGTCACACAAGCGCCGAAACCAACGATCTTCCAGAGGGAAAGTTTCCGGATGGAGTTATCTCTCGAAGAGGTGATTTCAATTGTCCACCGAAATCTTATGATATAACACCCTTTGACTTCTGACTTTGGGTCTACGTGAAAGACATAGGTTACGCTAAAAGCCAATAAAAATAGTCAATTCAAGATATAGAATCAATAATAGAACTCAGAAAGCTATTGAGTGCATACTTTGCGATTGAAAATTTCACAAAAACGATACGATCTTGTAAACATAGCCGTGAGGGGCGCCATTGATATTGTTTTCCTCCATTAATGGCATATCTTCGTTTTTATATTTGAAATAAACTCCGATCGCTTTTCTTCCAAGAATATAATTTTTCCATGAATATCAAAATAACACCTCCAATTGGAAAACCCTGTATTTAATAAACAAATTTCTCATTAAGTATTTCTAGTGAAAGTGAACTGAAGGGTATGTAAAGTAAGTAAAGTTCACTTTCGTTACTTCGTTCAATAACTTGGATAACTGACCCTAAAGAAGAAGTCATAAATGCCTCGTTAACTATATCATATTTCATGTTGGGATTTTAAGTAAAGTAGAAGCTAAGGAAAAGTAGAAAAGAAGAGCACTCTATAAACTATTTACAACTTTCTACCTTTCATGATCGTATCAACTTGATGGTATCCATTCATTTCAGTATCAAATACCAATTCATCATATGAGATTACCAATGATCTTAGATGCTTTATATATTTTCCCTATTGGGCTGATCTGGCAAGTTCAGACAAATGTCACAATGCATCAACAGTGTGTAACAAGTTTGTTTGAAATATCTCAAAAACTGAGGGACTAATTTGCGTACAAACAGATGGGCGGATGGAGAGACATTCATGGCTAAATAAACTCATTCTTTTTATCATTCTGACCCGATCGATATAAATTGGTAGGGGTCTATCTCTGGCGGCTGTGTGGTTGCAGTTCATATTGCCAGTCGGAAAACCAACGCTGGTTCGACAAACATCTAAAAATAAATTTTTTATATGCTATTGCCGCTCGGCAGGGAGTATGAAGCCATCCGAGTGTATTTCTGATATAAAATAAAAATTCTTCCTCATAAAAATTTATCCGCCATTTAGAGGTGGCTTCGTATAAACTGTAGGGTTTCCTTTGGGGCAAAAAAATAGCATTGAATAAATTTACGTGGCTTAAAGTAGAGCTAAGTACAAAAATAGATTGGTGTCTTTTTGTCGTATGAGTAGCATTTAATTAACCTAAATTCAATATTTATTTACATAGCATGTAATTTTTCTTCAATTTTATCATAATTAATTATCTTTTGCAGCAATTTTTCTATCACGACTTTCCGAAAATATATCAAACAACTACGCGCAGAAAAATTTACAAAAGCTGTCTGGTGTGTGACACTTGCATACGCGAGCTGATGGTACTCGACGTTCCACCCCAGGTGAGTCTGCCATAAAAGATATTTATAAATAGACCACTAACAACGGTTAGCTACCTTTGTGTGGGTAGATGTTTCATACCAAGCATGGATTGGCGCTAGGCTAACAGCTCAACTGTGTATACATACATCAGTGTCTATTTAAAGGCGGATAAATATTATTGTACGGTATATACTTATGTACGAGTATACATATATAATTTGCTAAGTTTTCACAATAGTTAGGTGTTGTCTTGGCATTTTAATGGTAATTCTAATCATGCTGTGTTGGTGATATTTTAATAGTCATTTTTTTCTCAGAAGGATACTACCATCATTTTACTTTTCTTCTTTTGGTTAAGCTTTAATATCCTCAAGATGCAGAAATAGCGTGTATTTTATGTACGTATACATGTTATGGGTCTGCTGGTCAACTCAACCGTTACTTTAGGAAAACACCGAAGAAAGGATACTTAACGATTACTAACTCGCGTTCAATAATTGGCGTTAGAAAGATGATATTTTGTAGTAAAAAATATAACTTCGCTTAAGGCAATTTCCTTTCAAGATCCCAATTACCTCCTTTTGGTCGGCACAATTTTGGTCAATTTTACATAAAATTGGGAGAGAATGAATTTTTTCCCCTATCATGACGTATCCTGTTTGCAAATATTTCCCCATAAAAGCTATGAGTATACAAGTTCTTGTCAAGTGGTCGAGTGACTCTAGAAATATGGAAAATAAATAAAAGCGGGCAGAAAGCAATACCCTCCAGAACTCCTCCGCAGACATATGTATGACCTTGGTGAGGAGGTCTGCATCCACTGACTCCGGATAATTTAGCATCAACATGCTTAACCCGTCGGTTTGGACAGAAATTTATTGTGCTTCAATTTTTGGCAGCGATAAAGGAGTTGTATGCAGCTCATTATATATTATTATCCGACAAGGGAAAACTCTTGGCCAGCGACGCACGTCTGCTGTATCGAAACGTTGAAGACAAAAAGGTGGTCTAACTCTATAGTTTTTTTTTTTTTTTGAAATATGCTTTGCCTTCGGGAACTATGGGGTAGCTACCGTCTATCGGACCCCGGCATAACATTTATTGCTGTCTATGACAAATGATTTCGCTGGTGAAGTAGTGGCCTCAAGAGAATCCTGTGAAAATGGATTGTATGAATTTTTGTCAATAGGGACAAAAGTTTCCATGAAAGAGGCATAATCGCATTACTTCCAAGTATATCAAAGGGGTATATGAATACACGTATGCATGCATATAAAGGGTGGGTCATCTCACGTTTGTTTTTGAATCTCGGCTTATTTGAGATTCAATGGCATTCCTCGAGCCTAAAATTATCAGCATTGGTAAGCTTAAAAAAAATTGACAGATATTGAAAACTTACTTTCAAAAAGAGAGAGTCTTAAACCGCAATTGCTAGCAAATTACACAAGCAATTTAACTCGTCTTCCAGGCAGTTTGTGGATTCAATTGTGCAACGAGTTCGTCAAGCCAATCCGTTATAAAGGTACGTGCTCGCACTAGACGAGCGAAAAGTATTGCTGCGTGACCTGAAATTGCATTTGAATAGCCATCAATCGGAACTCCACACCGTTCGCGGGATTAAATATTTTGTGCATTTCTTTGCGAATCTCTAGTCAAGGCTTATATAATCCAATTTGTTAAAGAACTTTCACCCTCACAACTATCCGACGCTATTGCGTTTCGCCAAATAGGCTTAATATCGCTTGGAAATTTTATGCCGAAAAATTTAATTTTCCGATTAAGCTCATTTTCGCCTCAGCGGAAGCTAAAACCGTTAACAAAAAATGCTATGTCAACCATCTAGATGCGATTTGTGACTTGAGAACTGAAATTCAAGTCACTATTGCAGTCATAGAGGGTCCACAATCGAAAATGTATTATAAAATTGGGTTGTCAGAGCGAACAGAATGAGCTACAGTGAGGTCACCGCCACCATTTATGAAGGCAATGAGGGGAGCTAAAGTTCTTAGAATAAGCAAATCTGTTCGAACCGCTTGAATTTACGCAATTTACGTAGAAATATTTATTTTTAAACAACACTGGTCAACACTGGATTGTACCAGGATCATTTCATCATTTCCCTTTTTTTTTGTGACCCCTACATTAATTCGTTTCTGAACTTATTCGCCCATTTGTTTGAACGCCACTTTTTTGAAGCCTCACCCTTTATATTTGTGTAGCCATATGCAAAATCTCATTCATATTAGATGGTAAATGTGGAGCAAAGCGGAATTGAAATTTTCATTTCCGCCCAAAAATGTTTGTAGAGATTTATATATTTACTAAGATTTAGAACAACAAATTGTAATATCACAATTTTTTATGTAACCTTACGATTTATATGATATCAATTTCACCAGATTTACGCTCAGCACAAAATAGAGCTTTCAAATCTCACAACTTACACTCACATACATACGCATACGTCAGAGCAATTTTATTTAGTGAATTTTTATTGAAATTTCTTATGAACAGTACGAGTACATAACGATTTTGTCGAATTTACGGTTTGGCAAGGGTATAAAGTTGTAAGCTTATCACAAAGTTGCCACATATGCACATACATAAATATGTACATATTTAAAAAGGCAAGTGCAAAGTTGCTGGAAGCAGCAGCGTCATCTGGCGGTCACAGTAGTCGAAGGACTAGTGGTGCGTGCTGTTATAGGGAGCGTTATGTGTTTGATTACTTTCATACAAGAATTAGAGAAATATTCCAATTGCAATAGTCCATTTGCAGGAGATATGAAGCTCTCCGAATGTATATATTTCTGAGATAAAATAAAAAAGTTCTTCATAAAAATCCTTCAGCTTGTTCGTAAGCGACTTAGAACTGTGGATTCAATATTCTTGGAACGCGCACACAAATTGGAAGAGAAAACTGAAAAAAGTGGCCAGTTATATACTGAAATAATTTCAAATCTTTCTGAAAGTAAAATACCTCACCTTGCCAAAATTCCTTATTCAATGAATCACCATTCAAGCGTACTCTTCTCATTCTTAGCTATTGATTTTTGACTTACCTCTCTGGTTCGATCCCAACAGTACCTAAGCATTCTTCGATAATTGTTTATAATTTAAATACAATATATTGGACTAAAGGTGGGCGTTCTCCACCTCGTGTATGCCAAAAAAAATGTCAATGTCACGAAATAGGAGGACGTGAATGAAGACGGACGTATGGTGAATATGTGCTCAATGGTCGATCTAGTTCCAAAGCCACATTGCCAAGACCCGAACAGGTTTGAGCCCCTCATACAAAACGCCAGAGAGGTCCTTATACGCATAATTGAGGTGAGGAGACATAATAATTTGCGCATGTTGTGGGTTCGAATTATTTTGAAGATATATTAAGGATGAAACAATTTTTTAACCGTTGCAAATGAAGGTTCCCAATTTGTCGCGTATCAAACCTAAAGGTTTATTTAATTTGATTTTTTTTAATTTTCATGAAGGGTTATAACTTGATATTGGTCTCATAGATACATGGAAACAAATTTATCTAGTGGCACAGAAATTGAGGATAGTCCACTGATTTCATCTTATAATCCCCGATGACTTATAGTCCGATTTCGATAGTGCATTCGATAGAGAATACTTTGAAGTTAGTATCTCAGAAATTTGGAAAAACAATTAACCAGAGAAAATAAATTTCTCATAACCGGTTACCATGTAGATGATTAATTTTTCCTTTAATAGAAAGGGTAAACGTTCGTAAAAACACAAAAGATGTTCCGAAAAAATTGCGTGCTGCCAAACGAAGTAGAATATTGGTCAATTAGAAATTTTTCAGTGCTTACAGTGCCTAAAGCAGATCTACATTAGGTCTCTTTTTGTACGTTCAAATAAGGTTAAATACTCTTTTGACTGATCTCACATATGTAAAAGTTCTCTAAAAAAATCTTAAAAAAAAGAACTTTCGAGAGAATTCATCTCCAAACTAGATCAGCCCCTATAACACTTAAGGGCTTGGGTTGCTGTCTCGCTTAACTTCATGGACACTTGACACTTTAAGTAAATAAATATGGAACGATGTACATGCATCAACAATGCATTGGAATGATTAATATTCACTATAAAAATTTCATCGAAGATGACCATTTAGACTGATGAGGCCCATTTCCACCTGCATGTCTACGTCCATAAACAAACCTGTCCCACCTGTGCACCCGAAAACTAAGGATTTGTGGTAGAAATGCCTCTACATCCTCAACGCGTGACTGTTTGATACGGTCTATGATTCTGCGGGGTTATTGAATCTTACTTTTTAATGGTGAATGGTTTGCACTATCAATAGATGTTTGGTGCGGTCTATGATTCTGCGGGGTCATTGAATCTTACTATTTAAATGCGAATAGTTTGCACTATCGTTAGATGTTTAACAATTTTTTATGGCCGGTATTCATCAACAAGCTGACGCTATGTGCCACACATGCAACGAAACCATCGACTTTTTTAAGGCGAAAATTTCGGGATTCTGTTATTTCTGGAAAAGGTGATCGCAATTGTCCACCGAAATCTTGTAGTATAACACCTTGAGGGCTCATCCTTTAGGGCCTCGTGAAAGATAAGGTCGATGCCAATAGGCCAACGTCGATTTAGACCTCTAAGATGGAATTCGTGAATCTATTGAGGGCATACTGCAGCCACTTTGTGATTTGGTGATGGAAAATTGCTTCGGTAGGAGATGATCTTAAAAGCTTAGCCGAGTCGGCTATTTGGCTCAGGGCTCTCTACGTTGAAATAAACATCCCAGCAGTTATATAAAAACTAGCCATTCAATTTTGAAACTCATATCGCAAATTCAGGTAGCTTCTCAATAAAGCATTAAACCTTGGTAAATTTGTATGTATACTAGAAAATATTTCATACGCGTTTATACAATAAAAAAATATGCGTATAAAGCTACTTATTTATAACTGAATATAAAGAACAGCTTAAAATACCTTTTCAAATTAAACTCTCTACGTATCAACAAGTATTTTCCTATTATTTATTTCTACAATATTATTTGTGTGGTTTTGTACACATTTGACCAAGGTCACAACATTTCTACAATACTCTAATGTAATACAACAATTCAAAATTGGCTCGTCATCGAATCCGTCCGTATGCGCCATACACCTGTCCTGTGATAATACCTTAACGTGTACTTTCTGGTGCTACGTGAATAACATGTCATGCATAAATAAATACATTTTATATATCACACATCCTTTCATTGGTATGAATGCAGTCCCTGCAGGAAAAGCCAGCCTTAGAAACTGTTGTGTCATTCCTATGCTCTTTCTGCAACCAACCAACATTTTATTATATTAAAACTGGTTGATTTTACACGTAAATATGCTATGGCAGGTGGATTGTCTAATACTGTATGAATGTACTAGAATTTTACTGGTATGAATCATCTAGTTTAATACCAGTCGCTTGGTAGTTTAGCTTTTCACTGCAGGGCAACTATACATATGTGTATGTATTGTGTTGCGGAGAGTGTATGGATTTGTCTCTGTTGTCCGTTTAAACTTTATTGATAACTGTGGGAATTGTTGTGCATTTTTAACACCCCTCTTGTGTATACACACATATAAATATACATATATATATGCGTTGTCATTTTGTTTTAAAATGTTGTTGTTCATTTACATTTCGTTTTTTTTTTTTTATTTTATTCCATTTTTTGTTTTGTTATTTTTTTTCTTTTGTTGTTTTCGGAACCGCATATGTGGCTATATTCAAAACTGTTTTTGTATGCAAGCCACAATAGAGCACCAAAGTATGAATATCCTTTTCAACAGTCAATCGGACAAGCGGCAGGTGGAATGTAGGGCAATTAAGGACAAAAGCATTTTAAAATCAATAAACGAGTATACGTCGCATGCTGATGGGAGAGTGTATGCATACAAACTAATATATTTGCATAAATTTTTACACTGAAAGTTAAATCTACTTACTATTAAAGCGAATTTTTTTGGAGTTTTTAAACGATATTATCAAAGTTTTATAAAAAAAAGTTCATTTTTCTAATTATGGTCGCTCTCGGAGTTTATTTATGGCATAAAATAAAGCTGCTCATAAAAATCAATCGATTGAATTCGACTTTTCTTGGGAACTCTCGATAAAGTTCATCACGTAAATATACATATATTTGCTTTCTACACGCGGAGGCTACTCAAGAATACAAAGACAACTTCAGTTCTGTAATATGCAACTTGCATAGAAGTATTGCAAAACTTAGTCAAATCTCATTTTGGACTATATTGGCATAGCAATTCACAGTATCGATTGGAAGAACTCAATTTAGATGAAATTAAAAATATCTTCGAAATTAGTACTCAAAGCAAGCGCACTTACTTAGCCAGTCAAATGACTTTTCCCCACACAGAAGTCGCTCAAAAATAGACTGGAGTTATACTAGTTCGACTGCTGCAAAAGCCAAGAAGTTAGCAGTGCGCACGACTATGATTCGGAAGGTCAGACTTCGAGTTCTGTTGTGACCAACACAAATTATAGTGGTCACCTCTAAGTAGGTAAAATGTTAAGCTTTCCGTGAGTTTTTCTGACATGAAAAAGTGGAGCTCACCCGAAATTCGTCTCGGCAGTTACAGAGCACCAATGATCTTCTTTTTATTTTTTTTATTCATTTATTTTTTTTTTTCTTGTTCTTGAAGTGAATACCACCTACGCGATTATATTCGAAAAAAGAGCAGCAAGCCATTCATTCTTCTACCCTTAGCCCATCGGCACCAATCGGTGACAACAAGTGAATAAATGTTCTTTTCCTCCTGGTCCTTTCAACTAAATGGAGGTCTTAATATTTCTCTGCATCAACCTTTGGATAATACTTCGAATATTTTCAAAGCTGGAGTTTTCTCTTACGTACGCTCGTGGTAGTCGCCATTGCCAATACGTAAAATCTCTCTCTCGAAGCCCGATGCGCCGAATCATCAGACATCTGCATAGCTTATGCTATCTGGATCACCTAGCTGGCATTGTAATTGCTGCTGATGCTGGTTTTCAGATATATTATGTATGTGTATTTCATACAATTTCATAGTTATGACTGTCGGCAGTAACATGGGAGCGAAGACGCAAACATGCTGACTCTTGTCCTTGTTCACTACCAGACCCGATTGGCTCGATCTAGAAAAGGCACAACTAACGACGCGTTTATTGAGACCGATACTTTCGTAGACGAATGTCCGTTTATGACTGCAACTCCTATTGTTTTCTCCAAAACTAAGAAAAAGCAGACGTAGCAATAACAGTAAATTTGTTTGTAACAGTAATATTATAGTATCGAACAGCCCCGAGGTGTCCTTCCCTATCTTGACGAAGCTTTTGATGTTGCTCAGCTTAAGTTTTCACGACCGTATAAGTTTGCGGTTCCATCAGAAACGAAAGTATCTCTCCGAACCTTTCAAAACCAAACGAGGCCAAGGTAAAAAGGGCTGTAGAGCTGAATAGAAAATGTACAATATTCTATAAGATTGGTCAGCTGCTGGTGTACGCCTCAATAGCCTCGCCGGGATTCATCCTATTTGCGACTCGACTCCCACGTCATTGTTGACATTTACTACTTTAGTTATCTTCAAACTTCTACCTATCAGCCTGGAAATCCATCGCAGAATCACTATTGCCAACAGGTGCTACTTCGGACTGAGTAGCCAAATGAACAGAAAAATCTTTTCGCATGACAACATCTGATGAGTCGATGTTAGGAGTTTTCTATAATCCTGAGAGACAGGTCGAGCTCTTGCTAGCATTAAACAAAAGTGAACTCAGTATTATTATGGAAGTCATCAACCCCTAAAATATTATTTTCACCAGCTAGGTAAAGTAGACTATGTAGAATGGAAAGTCTCGACTGAAAACGATGGCATGCTGGGCATGGCTGGTCTTCAGACGATTAGTACTTTAAATTTTCCATGGTATTGCGGGTTACAGCCTTATGGCGATGGATGCGCATCAATGAAAGGAACTAAAATAATTTATTAAATTAAATTTATTAAATGTATATACACACAATTATATATAAACAATATATTTTATATAACATTCCCCTCATTTCTTCTTTTTACCCTTTTCGCTCTTCATTCATCGCCACTGAACGATCACAACAAAATTAATGGAAACTAAATTTCGGCAAAATGTTGTGTGTTGCTGCAAATGGAAATTTCGGTTGCATGAAAAAATCAAAACTCCAAAAAACAAATGCGAAAATATATAGAAACGATTTCCGGCCGATAACTTTGCCGAATGGAATAATGGACATCCGCTGGGGTTGCGAACTGTGCACGCTTATGTTTTAGTATTCGATATGGGCAATTTGGAGACATTTCAGGTTAGTTGGTGTTTGGAAAAATAAAAAATAAATCAATGAATTTGATTGAAAAAAAATGATGAAGCAAACTAATTTTTCGCTTTAATCTCACTTCTTCCACAGTACTGCCGTGCAATGAGAGAGCAAATCTTGGATAGTTTCGGTCATCGTGATTTTAGTATAATAGTAATTGGCAATAAATACGATACAGTTACCGAGGTGCATGCAACTTCGCAGGTGAGTAGACAAAACTCAGTACACATACCTGAAGGGCAAATTGTTTAGACTCGTGGCTTTTGGGAGAAAACTTAACGCATATAATTTAATGTTAAACCCAAAAATTTAGCATAATCACAAAGATAAGGGCTTGAAATAATGTTTTGAAGTGAGCTCGGACAAGTGAATGCTGCGTTGGACCCAAATAATTCCAATCAAAAAGCCCAATTTTCAATCACTCAGCGCCCTGAATACTCTCTTCCAAGGCGTCAATCGTCTCGGCCTTATTGAACTTCACAAAGTGCCACAAAAAGAGGCCAGCGATGTTAAGCCGCGCAATCTTAGAAGCCACGCTATAGGCCCACGATACGAGATAATGCGTTGACCAAAAGTTTTCTTCAATAAATTGAAACCTTCGCTAAACTGAAGGTCGCTCACATCAAAATCCAACAATTCAGGCACGAAAAGGTCATTAATCATGGCTCTCCAGAGCTCCCCATTGCCAATAACACTAAAACCTTATAAAGAATTACGAAGAAATGTGGACCAATCATACCCTCTTCCCATAGAGCACACTAAACCGTGTTTAACCTTGTGAAGTCGTCACAACAATGACTCGTGAAATATCATCCATCTAAATGCGACAACTTGTTCTTATTAACGTGCCCAGTTTTTAAAATCGGGATCTGTGGTTATCTCATTTTTAGCCCCATCACCTATCGTGCGACGTCCTTGATGGCCGTTCGTCTTCAATTCTTTTATGATTTGGATTTTATAAGCCCCAACCATGATCCTTCCACAAAAAAAAAAGAGTGGATGGGTACAGCTGAAATAGTTGAGCGCGTTGGCAGATGAACTCATTCGGGTCTTCTGAGGCACTCTGTTCCAAATGCATCTCTGAGCTTGCGCATCATCCACTCGAGTAGCCATGGTACAGCAGCCAGAAAGATTAACTTTGAAAACCCACGTCTGAAAAAAACACCCTTTACAAATACTTATTTAAACAATAAAGTTTTCTTTTATCGGATAACAAGAGCTTTTAATTTTTTTATTTAAATCTCAATCAATATCGTTACAGGAACTGAAGGATATATCAACTCTGGTGCGTAAACACTGGCGTTGTGGCTACGTGGAGTGCTCCGCCAAGTAAGTGCTAAATATTTATTTTCATAATTATTCATTTTATTTCTTACAAGAACAGTACTAAGCAACCTCGGGTAGAAGGAAAATTCAAGCCACTGAAAATCTCAAGCCGTTTGTTTGAAACTTATCTCGGTTAAAGTCACTTTTAGACTGTTTCGACCATTGTCATGTTGTTGTTGTTATTGTTGTAGTAGTAAATCGTTATCCACACAGGCGAGATTAGTCAATAAAGCGGAGCTCTCGTTCTCGCCCGATTTGAGGGAAAATTGTTCGAAATGTCACCGTCCCAGGTGCCACATATCTTTCGTAAAAAGATGTAACTGGGAGAATGAAGGAAAAGAAACGAGCTCTTCCGACGTAAGCGGACTAAAAAAAAGGGCTCATATCTAGCTGGGCATATGTTAAGTTTGTCGGCGTATAGTTGAATCTACCAAAATATTGACTGGCTTTTTTCGAAATCGTTTATGGCGTGTTGATAGCATTTCGCAACCAAGGGGACTGGAGCATAGTGCTGAATAAAGTCAGTATATGTTGTCATGATCTACTTCAAGCATCCAGGCGTGTAATTTGGTGCGATGTTACCGCTGCACCGCTGCTTTACTTTTGCTTAGAGTAGGACAGACGCATTATATTCCATTAATAAATGGTTTCTCTTTCCCTCTTTATTCCTGCAAATTCTGAAGTATTTTCTGAAATAAGCCCATAAAAATTCCATATACCGTTGTTTAAGACAATAATCCCTCATAATCCCGTTTACCTTAATTTCAAAGGGATATAAGCCATATTACCAACGCCAGCCTCATTTCAAACAATTTTTCCTAAACTTGGAAGAGAACGAATTTTGTTCCCATCTCGACGTAGCCTGTTTGCAAAAGAGGAAACTGCTGGCATACCAAAGAGCTATGCTTCTTCAATGCCTAGAAAATTCTTTTGCTGTGCAGTTCCCCTCTGCTTCTAAATAACCAGGGACTCAAACGTCAGATATTCAGCAATGTTCTGTAATCCATTGAAAAGCTTCCTACCGTCCAGTACGACTATAAAGATCAAGATTATGTGTCTTTATAGAGACAACCTCTGATGAGCGAGAGAGTCTCCAAATGTAAAAAATAATTAACAGCGGATAGAGAACAACATCCTATAACTCTCCTGAAACAAATTAATGACATTGCTGAGGAGGCCTTAGTATCCCACTAATCACATGACTCTCTTCCCAACCGTGCTCCACAGCTTGGCGATGTTACAAGATAATATTTTTCAGATCTTGATGCCTCAAAAGGACTAGATAAGGCCAGAGACAAAAATATGGTATAAGTTTTTAGTTGATTTTTAACTGTGCCCCGGGAGTATCGGGGTAGCTTCCATCTTCCGAATATTAATATTGGTTCAAACCGGAAATACCAGAAGGAGAAGAGATAGATCCATCAAATCTTATACCGTTCGGGTCAGGATAAGAAGCAGAGTTGATTTAGCCATATCCGTATGTTTAAAAATATGAATAAGAGAAGTGTTGATCACTTAACTCATTAGTTTTTATGGTCCTGTTGCTGTAACTGTCCGTCAAACATAATATTGATTTTGTCGAGTCTGACCATCATGCGAGCACTGTTTCAATTTCTCAGGAGTTAAACATTGCACAAGAATGTTTGGAATGACTTAAAAGGCTCGATGTGTCGGTCTCACGTGAATTATCGAGAAAAAAGACTCATTTACAGTGACAATAACGTTAAATGAAAATGGTTAGGGTGAGTGGCAGTGAGCCGACCAGCTACGGTCTCCAAGACAAAAATGAAGGCTAGAAAGGTTTTGCTGTGTGTTTGGTGGGATAGCCAAGGAAACATCAACCATGATCTGCACCCCTACAACCAAATATTCAATTCGGACCTATACTGTCCGTAATTGGACCGCCAGAAGTAATCAATCGCACTCAGTTTTGGCCAACAGGAGGGGTATTGTTTTCATCAGGACAAAGTCAGATCACACACATCGATACTGGCTCGCCAGAAGTTCGGAGATCATAAACCGGGAGATTCTTGTGCTTCCACTTTGTGATTACTATCTGTTCTTATCTATGGCGAATGCTTTGCTGGTGAAGAATTGGCCGCGAGTGAAGGCCGGGAAAATCGATTATTTCAATTCTTTGCCAATAGGCACAAGGATTTCTATGAAAGAGTCATAAAGATATTATCTTCAAAATGGAAAGAGTTATGGAGCAAAATGAAGAATATTTGGCTCAAACCGCATAATTCTAACAAAGCCTTCGATTTAATGCAAACATTATAGATTAGATTAGTCCTATCTCGATAAATGAAAGCTTAACTCTATTATTTGGGGCAGAAGCATGGATGATGTCGACATCCGATGAGTCGGCCAAGGAGACTTCGAATTAAAATTTTGCGAACACTTTGTGGTCTTTTTGCCATTGGCTATAGCGAATACCCTAGAGGATGGAGCGAAAAGCTGTACGAGTTATACGATGACAGTGATATAGTTCAGCGGCTTCACTGGCTAGGTCATATCGTCCTGATGGACGAAAGCACTGCAGCCTCGAAAGTGTTCGATGCAATACCCATCGGTGGATTCAGAGCAAGTAGAATACCTCTTCTCCATTTAAAGTGTAGTTGGAGAGTGGCCTCGTTTCACCTCTTATTCCCAGCTGATCCAAACATCGTAGAGAAGGAAATATATGCGCGCTATTTTCGATTCAGCCGTAATCGCGTAAACGGTGTCCACGCCAATAAAGAAGAAAAAGAATGGATTTCTTTTTACTAAACCAAAATTTAAAACAAAATTTATATGTTATGAAAAGTTAATAGTCTTTAAAGGCATGACCAACAAAAACACTTCTTCTTTGACTTCTAATTGTTTTTTTTTTAAATTCTCTTTAAGATTTTTGGAGTAACCTTTTTTTGATATATGAAATAATAAATAAACGTTTAATAATATTGTTTGGAAAAAAGTATAAAAAAATTTATTTTCCATTTTCTGTGCACACTCCTTTCATTTACTTTCAGATACAACTACAAAATTGGCGATGTATTTCGAGAACTGATGGGCTGCACCGGCACCGGTGCCGTTGTCAGCGATTTTGCACAATCAAATAGAAATAAAGGACGTTGCACAATACTTTAGCGTTATCTGCTCAAGTTCTTCAAGGAAAGCATATGAGCCGCGTTAAAGGGGCGCAAGCTGCAGCTGCACTACTTCAAACCCAACGCAAAAACAACCACCAAATAAGCAAAGACTAACCGAAATGCCGCCAAACATACACAAGCACATACATACATACATACATACCTATTTCACATGTGAGTAACTGTGAATCACAAAGTTCACAAAAATTTTATTAAAATTCGAAAATAGAATAAATTGTTGCAGCTGTTGGCTCCCTTGAAAACTTTATAAGTATGTGTGTATATAAGTTTGTAGGTGAAGTGAGCACCATAATTAATCGATTTAAGGTATTTTGTATTTCTAAGAAATTTGGAAATATATGTACACGTATGTAATGTAAGGAGTCATGAGTTTAAATTGTATGCAATTTAGAAAGCGAAAAGAAATTTCGACCGCGTCGTTGCTGAGGAAAGCCAAATTACTTTAGTAATTGTTATACAAATATGCTGTTATATAACTAAATAAGGCAATTACTGAACAAATATTAGTGTAGATGTATAAATTAGGAATAGATATTTTCAAAAAACGCCAAAAAGTACGGTACACATTATAAATATTATTATTTTTTTTTTGTGGTACTTAATTAACTTTTTTGCGCCCAATTAATATCACTTTTGTGCTCTCATAGACGAAGGTTCCCGAATTATCAAATAACATAATTTTGGCCCGTCAAATGTCAGGTGAAATGTTCGATAACGTCACTGTAACTCCATAAAAGCAATATTAGACGGACGACGTGTGTTCACACAGATGAATTATATCGGCAGTTAAGCAATAAATTGTGTCACTTAGTTATGATTTACTCGAGTACGATACCCTGATCGCACACTTAAACTTACTGTCCCACTGTGATACCTAATTGTGCCAGTATTATGCGGTACTCTCGAGTCAGCTCTAGCTCTTCATCTGCAATTGGTGGTGGTTTGAATCCGGGAACACCTTTAACTGGAAGAGAATTCAGGAGAAGGTGTTGCCTTTTAATGCCTGTTGGTAAGACGTCTTATCCAGCGGTTATTGTAGGTGATGGTGAATGCAGTGTTTGAGGTCGAGTAGGTGATGGTTCGTCTTCTAATTAGTGTCTGCTGGTGTGTCCCGTGCGGTAACATCCCAACATGAATAATGCTCCTTAGCTGGTAGCAAAGATACTTCGCTGGGGAAATCAGAAGGTCTCCTGTCATGGTACTCGCCGCCCAAATCGGCACAGCATAGTTAACGACCGGCCAGCCAATTGCCTTATAGATTGTCAGCAACGTTTCTTTATATGCAATTTCGAAGAAAAAATTGCCGAGAAATCGATAATGTGGCGCAGTGAACGCTGGGCTATAGCGGAGGAAAGGCTCTATCGATTCCTTGCTTTAGAAGTAGTAAGTTTTTCATTCTTTTCGCTTTGATCAATCATAAGATTTATGTGGTTACATTGTATATGGTTTTACTTTGTCAGCTGTTTTTGTCCCTTCGGGCGCAGACTAGTCTTAGCGGATATTTTGTCGAGAAAAGAGGTACGCCCAAGTCAAATGCAGAGCTTAAAGTGGATTGAAAGTTTCATTTTCATTGAAAGCGAAGTTCTAAAAATGTACATGAACACTCACGCACTGCTGTTTTTACGCTGATCTTAGCTATACCAAGGTAATCGTGCAGGTTTTTGAAAGCGATTGTATCGTAAAATCAAACCATTTCTGAGAGCTGTTTCCTTTTTTGCTGAGCATCGTCGAGAGCACTTTTCCCAACTTCTTGTACAAATTTCGGACCGGCCTCGGATCGTCTTCAAAGGATATCTTGATTGTTTGAATAAACTAAGCCAATTGTATAGGGTTTCCAGGTTAACAGATTTTGTAAACCAATGACATCTTACCCATAATGGCGGCAATTACTTTTCCTTGGAGCGGCACAATATTAAATTTTTTCTCATTTCACGTTTCTCTCTCTAATTGTTTAACAACAATGAAAACTCGAGCCTTAACACGACTGTACAACCCTCTCATTAAGCGAAAGTAAAAGCACGCCCTCGTGGAGTCGCATATAAAATGAGCAAAATTTTTTGGAATAAAGGTACATATCCAGGGCTTTAGAATAAAAGGATTATTCTTATGAAAATGTCACTTTTAAAGCTGTAATTTTTCGCCATTTGACACATACATATGCATATGTTACTACAGTAATAGAAATGGAAAGATACACGCTTCAACCGTTGTTGACATTGTCATTATTAAAATTCACTATGAAAAATGTGAAAACCTGGCAGAGACGGTTCGTAGAACTGAAACTTTTTTTCGGTCGTCTGGAAACACCTTGTCGGACCCCAATACAGAAATTGTTGTATAAAATAGAGCTGTTGGGAAAGTTAAGAAATGGCAGGGTTTGTGTATTCCTCATCGTTATTTCGGATCTGAAATAAGGACTTGGGACTAAAGGCTTCTTTTAAGGTTCAGTTAACACAGGAGCACAAGCCGGCCGATCATCAACATCATCGTGTGATTGCTGATTGGGTCCCTGTAATGCATAAAATTGATCCGCATTTTTATCAAAAAATTGTCTTGACTGATGATACGCCTCTTAACCTCGATGTGTACGTCAATAAGCAAACTGGCGCATTTGGAGCTCGGAAAACCCAAGATTTGTTATTAAGAAGGCCTCTCCAATTCTCAACGTGTAACTGTATGGTAAAGTTTATGGTCGGATATGAAAAAGTGGGCGACACAAACAAACTCAATGTGATCGACACAAAATAATTACATATATATTTTTAAAGAAGGCACACTGGCATGAACCGAAATCCTCATTAGGTTCGTGTGGCAAAAATAGTGCTGACCACACAATGAATTTGCTACGCTCATGAGAGAGCGCGCCTTTCTTGTTTTTTTTTTTTTTAATTTGTGCTCTCATCATGAAAAACTTTATCCCACCATAATTTCCAATAAAAAATTATTAAAAAAAGTTGTTTATTTTTCTTGTCAGAATAATCTGAGAAACCACGAATTAAGAGTTAAAAACATTATGTTCGTTAAATGTTCGTGAAAAGTATTCGCATTAGTATACAAGCTAAGGTTATTGAGATTTCTGAGGTAGAAATGTTTATAAAGTTCGCACGATAGCATAGAAAATTGAAAATGTGTTAAGAAATATATATAATATAATAAATAGAACAATACTTTATATTTAAGAACAGATACTTTAAAGTTGTGATCACTGCAAGAATTAGGTTATTTAAAGAAAAATAAAAATAAAATAAAAATTAATAAAAAAAATTAATTTAAATAAAAATGCAAAACTTTGCACGGTTGGAAAAAATACGTTTAATAAAATGCATATATGTACATATGTACACGTATGTAAGCATTAATAGTGATGAAACATAAGTAGATATATAAGAAATTATGACCATTTATACATATGTATTTATCATTGTACGTGTATATAACACGTATAACCGAACACTGCATACAAAACCAAAATAGTTAAGGAATACCATATTCAAATGTATTATTTAATTAATAACAAATTAATAAAGAAAATCACCAATAATCACGTCAAATGAAAGCAAACGGCAAGTTTAGTGAATTAAAAAATAAACGCACAAAATTATGTGTTATTACTGTTAGAGAGGGAAAATAAAAAACAAAATTTGTAAAATAAAAAAAGATAAATAATTCCTTACGATCACTTATACATATAAGAATTCATAAAAGCAAATAGAGGTTGAAAACTTCAAATAGTTTTAAAACATTAGAATATTCAAAAATAGTTTTTAACAAAAAAAAAAAACAACAATAAAACAAGTAAATAAAAAATGTTTTTGTATATAAGCCTATTAGAAACACATCGGTATGTAAGTATGCCTAGATATGCATATGAAATTAATGAAAACAATAATAAAATTAGGTTTTAAACAAATATAGCATAACGAATTTTTCCCACTGTACAAAAACAAAAAAACAAAAACAAAAACAGCAACAACAACCCCACAAATGTTGACGATAAATGTTAATTAAAACAATTTCAGACATAATAATAATAGAAATAACAAAAATAATAATAATTTTAATAATAACAATAAAAATAATAATAGCGTTAATAATTAAAATAATACTAAAAATAATACTAAAAAATAATAGCAATAACAAACAAACATAAAACAAATTAAAAAAAACAAACAAATAAAAATATGTACCCTTGAGCGATAAATAATTTTAAAAATCCAAAAACACTTTGAAAAATTTATTTTATATTAACATATAAACGAGTTAATAAATGTAAACAAATCAAGGCTGAATTTGTATATATGTATATGTATGTAAATATATGGACATACATACACATATATTTATACACTTAATAAGTGAAAAAAGGTATTACTTAGTTATACAGAAGAAAAACATAATAATAATTATTAAGAAGAAAATTAATAAAAATAAATTATTAGTATACAAAGTGAGAAAAAATTTAAAATCAATATAACTGTACAACATGTACATCTTTGCTATGAGATTATACACATAATATTTAAATGCAGAAACAAAAAAACGTTAATTAATTAAAATATAATATAATATATACCTTAAAAAATTGTTTAATATATTTTCGCGTTGAAATATTGCTAACGCCCTTAATGCTACACACAAACACACTTTTGACGCACTTTTTTTATTATTGACCTTTCAAGTCTTTAAATCTTTAAATTTTTCCATATTATTCCCTATTTTATAGCATACAAAGATTCATATTCTATTCTTCTTCTTGATTGGTGAACACGCTCGCCGTTTCAACCATGTCCCGTTGATAGACAGACCGTTGATGCCGTCAATTGAAAGCAATTCCTTCTTCGACTGGGGTTTTCAACATAAAGCAATGCCCCTCGAAACCGGTTCTTCACGTTTATCTGCAGAGTTTTCGACCAATTCAGCTGGCGACCAGTTTTTCATACTTTTTGTCATACTATAGGAGCTCTTCTTTGACATTGCCGAAAACGAATAGTGGAATAGAGAATAGCATACAAAACCGCATAGCTGCCTGTCAAAATTGCAGCTTTTCGACTTCTAAACTCTTTACATCAATTGCAGTAGTTGTATGAGCCAAAATTAGCTTTTCGAAGTGTACAAATATCTAGAACACCGAAGGCTTGTCGGCCCTCCATCTCAGCATCATCGAACCCGAAAGAGCTTGACGAATTTCTTCTGTTCTAGTACATATAACCACACATAATATACTTTGGGCTCCAGCTAAGTCATCAACCTCAACCCATCAAGGATGGTTAATTTTCCTACTGTTGTCAACCAGACGTTAGGAACGTCTAGCAAAATTGTGACATCTGGGGTGAACAGTGGGTTTTAAGCGCCCGTAGAAATCTTTTTTGGCCACACCATTCTTCTTCCACTGTGACGTGAGCGCAATTCAGTGATAAGTTAAAGAACTTCGCTTCGAGGAGAATTAATAAAAACTGGGGCCTCTCAACCTAAGCTATAATTTCTTTTTCAATGGAGCTAGTATTTTCTATGGAACGCACAACCACGCTAAGCGATTAAGTGTAGA